GATAAATACTGATCTATTATTACTAGAGGCCCTATAGACTACCCAGTCCTCCTAACTAACACCCACTTTCAGTGGATGAGTCCTATGCTGGTTTCCCAGCTATCAGACTGGGGTACATCAACTCCCCCTTGTTCAGGTCAGCTGATTTTGTGTGTTTCTCTAGCCTGTTCTTTTTTTTAATTTAATTTTTAAAATTTAATTTATTATTTTACATGTCGATCCCAGTTCCCTCTGCCTCCCTCCCTCCCTTTTATCCTCTCTGCCCCCTCACATGCACCCTGACCACCCTCCCCACTCCTCAACCCACCCCAACTCCACATGCAGGGCAATGCCATGCAGGTGGGGTCATATAGATCTGTCAAGTCATTTGAAGTATGGGCTAGGACTTCTCTCCTGTCTCTAGGTTAAGGTAGTATCCCTCCATGGGGATGTGTCCGCAAGGTCCTTTTGTGCACTAGGAATACATCCTGGTTCCACTGTCTGAGGTCTCTTAGACTGCTCAGTCCTTCTGGCTGAGACCCATATGGGGGGGCTGAGTCTGTGGGCTAGTTAGCTCCTCCTTGTTCAGGTCAGCTGTCTCTATGTGTTTCTGCAACCTGGTCTTGTCCTCTCTGTCTGCATCTGGATTCTAGTTAATCTCAGTGTTTAGGTATGGGTGTTTGCTTCTGTTTCCAACAGGTATTAGATGAGGGCTCCATGAATATGTTAGTCATTGATCTCACTATTCAGGAAGGGCATTTATGGTAGCCTTTCCACGGTTGCTCAAATTGTTAGTCTCCAGCCTGTTCTTGACCGCTTTGCTCATCACTCCTCCCTTTCTGTAACTGGATTCCAGGAGTTCAGCTAGTGTTTAGCTGTGGGTGTCTTCCTGTCTCTTTCCTCTTCTCCAGGGGACCAGGTATGTCTCTCTTAGGGTCCTCCTTGTTTCATAGCTTTTCTGACAGTGTTAGAGCTGAGATTAAAGGCCTTTGTCACCATCTCACTTTCTAAATTAATGGTTTATGTGGGTGGACCAGACCATTGTGGGTGGTGTTATCCCTAGGCTGATGGTCCTAGGTTCTCTAAAAAAGCATCATGGACAAGCCACATGGAGAAAGCCAGGAAGTGAACCCCCTCTATTACTCCTGCATCAGCTTCTGCCTTCAGGTTCCTGCACTATTTGAGTTTCTGTCCTGACTTCTTTGATGATTAACAACTATGCTGAAGTGTAAACCAAATAAACCCTTTCCTCCTCAACTTACTTTGGTCATGGTGTTTCATCACATCAAAGTAACCCTAACTAAGAAAGATAACAAGTGTTCTCCAACAGGTTCTTGCATCAAAGCCTTGATCCCTAGTTGAGAGAGCCAGCCATAGAGAAGTAATTGGATTCTGAGAGCTGTGACCTGGTCAGTGAATTCATGTTATGATGGGACTCTCAAGTGATGGGGGACTTTCTGCAGGAAGCACGGTATGCCTGGAAAGGTATATTTTGTCCCTCTGCTCTTCTTGTTTCACTCTCTGCTTCTTGGTCATCAGGAGCAGGAACATCTCTGTTCTACCATCCTTTCCTTTGTATCTGTTTCTGCTTTTCACAGGCACAAAAGCATTGGATCCAGCCTAATATGAGCCGGGACACTTAAAACTATGACCCAAATAAATTATTCTCCCCTTAAGTTGTTATCCCAAGTATTTTCTTTCCAGTGGTTAAAGCTAACCCAATAGGAGAGTCATCCTGGTAGGACAGCAATGGATAGATTTTTAGCAGATCTTGTAAAGGAGTTAGACTTTGTTTTATGTGTAAGAAACATGTTTCCACAAAAATACTTGTAGCAAATACTTTAAACTTTGTACACCATACATTTTAGTACTTACTTTCATCAGTAAACTGATGTTTGGTTTATAAATACACTAAAGTTTAATCTTTGTCATAATGACTAAAATGTCTTTGTAACATGAAGGAAACTATGGGGAATTTAAGTGAGTCCGATTTTATTCCTGTCAAGCTGAACTTATGCACTGAAATTTGAATATTCCCATATAAAATATACCAGTGCTTTGATTTTTTTTAGTATTAAAAATTTAAAGCAATCACTGGAGTGGACCACATGGTGACCATTGTTGCTTGACAATTTTCAAGCATTTTAACATTGCTGATCACATTTCTCCCAGCACCTGTTAACTTTCACTTTTAATGATTCTCAATGTTAATGCCTTTCCCTTTGGGAAATTTTGTGTAGACCTTGGTAAAAGATGAAAATGTGTACATGGTAGCCTCTCCAAATAAAATACTTATTTGAAAAAAAATAATCATTGCTGGAAACTAGTAATACCATTGTGCCTTCCTAATTACATCAAGAACAGGAATGTCAGAGATTTACTAGACACACCTGATCCCAAGGATGAAATGCCTACAGTTCAGATCCAGAACCGAGGCCATTAAGGGCAAGAGTTCAGTTAGTAAGTAGAGAGACATCAGAATGGTACAGTATACTGGAAAAGAGTAAGACATCAAGACCTTCCTTCCCTTTTGGGAATGTTATGACTAAGTACGACTAAGATACCATGGGCCACATTTAGGGAATAGTTCCATGCTTCTTCTTTCAAAACTAAAATCAATGTTTATTACCTTGAATATGGTAATGACTGATATAGAAAATAAACTAAAAGGTTTTTTAACAGTCCAAAAAATTAATGTTTATTTAAATTTATTTTTAAATTTGTTCTTTGTATATTTCACTTCATGTATCTCCATTCCATTCATTCCCCCATCCCTTCCTCCCCACACTTTCCCTTTGCTACTCCCCCTCCCCAAAATAAAATAAAATTGAAGAAAGAAAAAAAAAAACAGAAGGAAAAAAATTAATCTCATCATGTAAGCTGTAGAGACACAGTAAGTCACACAGTAAACCATTTTAACCATATATCTTTACTTGCAAGTGTTCATTGCAGAGTCATTTGTCTGGTTCAAGGCTTCTGGTTTCTGCTACCCTATCAATGCGGGGCCCTCACTGGAAATCCTCTTGGTTATCATGCTGCTGCCATGTGTTGTGGAGATCCCGCAGCTTTGGGTCTATGGATCAGGTCTCTTCACTTGCTCCAGCAGATCACATATGTGGTGGATGTTGGGGTGGGCCAAAATATAACCCTAATTCTGGGCCTGGGTAGTTGCAGAGTTGGTCAGCCTGTCAATTCCCCCTTGTCCTCACCACCATGGTGAGCTCTCCTGCATTGCCCTGGTGCATTCACTCCTTGCATTGATGAGCAAGGGGCAGGGTAAATTCTCTTGCTTTCACAGTCCCAGGGTCAGATCTTCCATATCTATACTTTCAGGGCCAGCTCTACTGTGTTGCCCAGGCATGGAGTAAGGTCCACTCTCCTGAATGCTGAAGCTGATGAGAGGTAGGGCCAGCTCTCCTGTTCTCATGACCTTGGGGCTAGATCTCCCATCTACCTCAGGCATTGATGGGTGATGGGGGGCGGGGAGGGCATCTTTCCCTGCCCATAACATCACATGACAGATGAGTAATGGGGACAGTTCTTCCATGTTCATAGCTACAGAACTGGCTCATCCACACCTCTGCCCATAGGACTGGCTCTATTGTGCAGCCCACAAAACGTTCAGGGCCCGCCTCCTAGTGTTGTAGATGGGGGCAGGCAGGGGCAGTTATTGTACCCTTCTGACCTCAGGGCCAGGTCTCTCACCTGCCTCAGGTGTTGATGGGCTGGGGGAGGGGAAGGCATCTCTCTCTCACCCATGCCATCATACTGCAGATGAGGGACAGGGCCAGGCCTCCCATGGTCACATACCTGTGTCATCAACAGGGTCAGCTCTGCTGTGCTGCCCTGGTGAGGCACAAGGCCCACTATCCTGAATAGTGTTTAATCTCATGAGGAATGAAAATTGTTCTTAAACTGCAATATAGTGTTTGTTCCTCAGAAGAAGTCTGTTTTCCCAAGGTTGGGAATTTAGATAAGGGCCTCCATTCCCAAAAGGGACTTGAGCAAAGTGCCTGCTTGTTAAAGCAGTTTTCTCCTTATGTCTGGCAAGAGGAATTTATCATCTTCCCATTATAACATATAACTGGTTTCTATTGTCAAGGTCATTGCTAGATTCTTCAATCCCTGATCTCAAGTTACACCCAGCTCCTTTGTACAACTATACAGTATAAAAAGTATAGTCTTCTTTCAATAAATGCTGCTGGCAGCCATTCTGGGTCATCTTCAGCCTGTTTCCTAGAACCCTCCTGAAAGGAAAAGAACCAACTCTCCCAAAATTGTCTATTGTTGTGATATACACCATGACCAAAAGTAACATGGGAGGTTTACACATTCTTATAATTCATGACTGACAGAAGTTAGGTCAGGAGCTCAAGAAGGATAGCTGCTTCCTGGCTTGCTCACAATGACTTGCTTTTTTTTTTTCCAGTAGTGCATTCTGTTTAATCTCTCAAATATCTGTGTAGAAGGGACCATGCTGCAAAACAAGGCAGAGATCTGTAGACAAGTGTGTCTCGCTCAGAGGGAAACTGATTAGAGGGAAGGCACCAAAAACCTTAATCTGTCAGATTGCATGTAAACAGTAAATGGGGAGACTTTCACAGTGGAGCAGGAACTTCAATATCATTTCCCTGGCACATCCTATGACAGAAGATGTCCTTAGTGCTGCTGCTGCTGCTGCTGCTGCTGCTGCTGTCACACATTGGGCATACCCTACAGACAGAAGATAGCCTTAGTGCTGACCCTCAGCCCTAGACCTTTATACTGTGATATAACAGTACCTGATGCTAGGAGACAAAGACCGACACAGCAGCGGGTCAACAAGGGCAAGAGAGGGAACAGAGCCCTGCTCAAACTCTCCCACATACAGTGGCAGTGCCTCACAAATGGCTATTCATCAAGTGGGATGTAAAAATCTCAAGTCCTAAAAAGCCCAGGCAAATAACCCTGTTTCTGTCCATGCTCTTCAATCAGGTGGCGTGGGAAGGTCCTGGGTGGAGGGACGTACCATGTCTGGCCATCTTTCTAGGTGAGGATAGTGGGGGCAGTACGTCCTGTCCTCTCCTGGAGCTGGGACACCTTCAGGGCAATGGAGATCAGGGGAGCCAGCATGACCTGGGGACCCTGCTTGATCTTGGCAGCATCCTTCTCATAACTATCAATATACAGTCGAATGGTGGCCCCTGCACTCCCGGTGTCACTCAGTCTGAAGATACGAGAACCATCTGCAAAAATGAGCCACAAGCCCTGATTTCTTGAAATGCTTCCATCTACTGGGTCACTATATTCAAAGTTATTAGCTTTCTCCACAGTGTAGACTTTATCGTTTGCTGAGAACTGCTTCCCCTCAAAGGAGCGGTCCAACATCAGGGCCTCCAGGTCCTTCATCATTTTGCTTGCACCCTCAGCTTCCACCTCGTAATCATACCTGGTAAAGAAGTTCTGACCAAACTTCTGCCAGTGGTCTTTGAGGATGTCCTTCATGCTCTGTTTTCGGGTGGCCAGAATGGAGAGCCAGGCCAGCACAGCCCACAGTCCATCTTTCTCACAAATGTGGTCAGAACCAGTCCTGAAGCTCTCCTCCCCACAAAGGGACAGTTTGCTTGTATCCATCAAGTTCCCCAAAAAACTTCCAGTCAGTTGGGATCTCATACAAAGTGATCTTTGTGGCATTTGCTATCTGATCCAGGGTGCCACTTGTGGGCATGCTACGGGCAAAGCCACTGACCCCAGTCTGCTGGAAGTACGGAATGCTGAAGATGTTGGCGGCGATGACGGCCACAGAGTTGGAAGAGTTCACAAAGAACCCATGGTTGCCCAGAATCATGTTTAGATCCCCATCACCATCAAAGTCAGCCCCAAAATCATGCTCTCCTGACTTTATGGTCTCGACCAGGTCAGCAGCATAGGTGAGGTTGGGGTCAGGTTGGTGGCCTCCAAAGTCCTCCAGGGGAACGCAGTTCACTGCTGAGTTTGCGGGGGCACCAAGTTCTTCACAGAGGATCTTCTTTACGTATGGTCCCACAACTCCATGCATGCCATCTATGCGGCAATAAGCCCACCTTGGAAAAACAAAAGTAAAATGAAAGATGAAACGATATTTGAGAGGTTGACAAGATATCTCAGCAGATAAAGGTACTTGACACCAAGCTTGATGACCTGAGTTCAGCTTGATGACCTGAGTTCCAGCTCTTGGACCCACATAGTAGGAGGAGCGAAATGCCTTATGAAAGTTGTCCTTTGATCTCCATCTGTGTGTGTGGCATGTGACACCCACACACGTCAATACACTCCCACGCAGACACAAAATAAATACATAATTAAAAAAATAACATCTTAAAGAAAAAAAACATTTGAATACTTGAGAAAATCCAGAGATGAATTTTAAAAAGCAAAGAAAAATAAAATAGGAATAAAAGATCAAACATGATACCAAGGCTAATGAAGTAGAACCTCAAGCAAATGAAGACTCAGAATACTATTTTAGCAAACAAAAATGAAAATAGTGTGTAAGATACCCGGACATGGATGGGCTATGCAAATAAGAGTTTCTGGCTATTGGCAAGGGATATTGAATTTTAAACTGAAAATGACTTTATTAGGAAAAACTCCCAGCACCATTAGAAAGATCTGTCTCTAAATACAAGAGTGAAGCACAGGTACAGGAAGTCACAACCTAGTCACTCCCTGACCCTGAGTGCCACAGCTGGGATCTTAGACTCACTTCTGGGAGTCTCTGTGACTAGGTCTCTGATGGGAGATGCCATTATGTATATACGTTTCTCATACTGGTTAATAATAAAGCACTGTTGGCCAATAGGAAAGGAAGATAGGAGGGACTAGGAGACAAGGAGGAAATAGGAAGTAGTAAGGACGAGCCAAGATGGAGAGTCTGAAGAAAGCAGTATGCCGCCAGCTCCCTGGTAAGAGAAATACATAGATCAGCAGAAATGGGTTAATAATTAAGGCAGAGCTAGCCGATAAGAAACAAGTAACAGGGCCAACAGTATTGTACCAAATACAGAGTCTCTGTGTGTTATTTGGGGCTGGCGCAGTGGCAGGACAAGACCGGGCGGCGGCAGGCAGAAAAACCGTACTGGTTACAAATGGCGCCCAACGTGGGGCAATAAGACCTTCCACTTAAAATTTAACAAAAGCTTAAAAAAGGGTTTTAGAAACAAAAGAACAGAGACAAGCAAGGTTTCTTGGTAGCAGCATTTTTCTCAGTTGAACTCTGCTTTGCTAGAGACAAGCAGATATTCAATTGGCTCCTTTAAGCGAGGATTCCTGACTCAGCAAAAGCCGCAAAAAAGCACAGGGCTTTTAAATAACTCTGCTAACAGTTTATTGGTGTGTATGAGAGATGGCAATGGCAGTGACCACATCTCCAAGCCGGCAGCATGCTTTCTGGGTGGCAGCGCAGACCAAGGCGGTGAGCACAGCTTTCCGTGCTGGCGGGTAAAAGTACCCGCCACCATCTTTGGTAAACCGTGGCTGACACAGCTATGACTTTCATTTTAGCAATGTTGTTGTTTACCAGATAAAAGACTTGTGGCCAGACAAAGATAAAGATTTACAGTAAAGACAGATTCATATTAAGAAAAACCTCTAAAGGTTTACAGTGTGTTTTAAAATATACGTAGACATGAAAAAAAATGGTTTTAAAGAGACAAAGAGGAACTGGGTGTTGTAGCACACGCCTTTAATCCCAGCACTCAGGAGACAAAGGCAAGCAGATCTCTGTGATTGCAAAGTAAACCTGGTATGCAGAGTGAATTCCAGGACAGATAAGAGTTACACAGAGAAACCCTGTCTCAAAAAATAAAAAGTAAAAGAAACAGAGTAATAATAAAGCCACATAAAGATGAAAAGCTCAGAGAGAATCTGGTTACTGTATGCTATTGTGTTGTCTCTACATTGTTTGACTGTTGAGAAAATAACAACAACTGATAAAGGAAATGCTGCTGGATTAATTCAATTTATATATTTTAAAAATGCTTTGACTCCAACATTTAAGTTCAAGGACAAGTTACTGGGGAAAAGGATTTCTATTTTTGTTTCCACAGAAAATAAAAAGCTGTGGATTCCTTCCAGACTAATGTGGTTTGAGCAAGCCAGGCCCCCTGAAACAGAGTCGTTGGTGATCCAAAATTCAAAACAGCTTGGACAAAGCAGCCTCACAGACTACAGCCAAGATTTCTGCAACTTCTTAGGATCCACACGACAGCGCCCCCTATCAGCAGGAAGTAGTTTGGAAAGAACGACGCCCAAATTCCCAAATATTGTTTATAAATGTTTGTTTTCATTTAAATGGACTTGGTTATAAATGGTTAATGATCATAGTCAATTCTTTTTCAAGGTAAAAAGGGAATTATGGTATAGATATGAATACTTTGTTTTGGAATGGATTTTCATTTATTGATACAATTTAAGGTCAATGTTGTGATATGTATATTTCTCTTCTTGCTTATGTATTGTGTTTATATAGCTCATTTTAAAATGTAACGTATAATTTAGTACAGATTTTACATAGTTACCTATAATAGTCAAAACTTATAGCTAAGTTAGTTAGGTTTTCTAGATATACAGAGATGTATTTGAGATAGATAGGCATTCTTCAAACCTTTCAAAGACCTACAGAATATGGCATTTAAAATGGTTTAGGGTTTTTCTTGACAGTGAGACATAACTGCTCCTGGCAACGCCACCTGGGTCAGAAAGGAAGATGGACATAGAAGAAACTTGTTTTGGAGTTTGCTTCCAATATGGCAAGACTAGCCATTTGGACAAGATACTGCTCTTGTCTGGACTGTTTGACTTTATGCTGTATAAACTGGGCATGCAGGACCCACAGAAAAGTGACTTCTGATTCAAGATGGACATTGCTACAGAGATCCTGCTTCATGGAAGAGTCTTCGAGACAGTATGCAGGACACGGAGAAAAGTGACTGACAAACTGCCAATACAAGAAGACAGTTTAAAGTTTCCTGCGTTGCTAAAGAGTCTGCTAGACACACTATGGCCTATGGGCTGAAGATGGAAGATTGCAAAAGAACTTTGGGTGACCAGGCAGTGAGTTGTCTCTGTCATTTCTAGAGTTTAAATATTATCCTTCTGTGGTCTTTGAGGGAGTTGAAGACAGATAGTTAAGGTTATAGTTTTCTTAGTATTAAAGATAAGTTAGACTTTAGACACAAAGATGGGATAGATGATGGAATGTTTTCTTAAATCTTGCTAAATGTTAATGGACTAAATAATGTTAACTGTGATTCTTATTTGATAACTGTTGTGTTATATATTTTGCTATGTCAAGGTTAAAACCCTTCTTTTTATTTAAACAGAAAAGAGGAGATGATGGGAGATGCCATTATGTATATACGTTTCTCATACTGGTTAATAATAAAGCACTGTTGGCCAATAGGAAAGGAAGATAGGAGGGACTAGGAGACAAGGAGGAAATAGGAAGTAGTAAGGACGAGCCAAGATGGAGAGTCTGAAGAAAGCAGTATGCCGCCAGCTCCCTGGTAAGAGAAATACATAGATCAGCAGAAATGGGTTAATAATTAAGGCAGAGCTAGCCGATAAGAAACAAGTAACAGGGCCAACAGTATTGTACCAAATACAGAGTCTCTGTGTATTATTGGGGCCTGGCGGCGTGGTGGCGGGACAAGACCGGGCGGCGGGAGGAAAAAACCATACTCTTACAGGTCTCACTCCTGATAGGCTCTTATTATTGCCATCTGTGGGGGTGTCTGATCCCTGTATCTGCCTCAGGATTTCTCCACAGTCTCCCTTCAAGATGTCTGGATGTATCTATCACTGACAGAGCTGATGCCTGTGCCTGTGTCCTAGAACTCAAGGGTAGAGCAAGAAAACCTATGCCTTTGTCCTTAAGCGTGCACGGATGTGAAATGCTCTATTTTACCCATCTCTAACCAATTGAAAAATTTCACAAGTAGAAAAGGAGATTTTGCTGTCTTTCTAGAAGGATAAATATCTGTCTCAAAGACCAAGAATGGGAATTATTTGTGATAATACATATACAATTATAACTATAGCATTCTCATTATTGATTGTTACAATCTCATTACTGGACTGTAAGACTTGTTCAACAGCTAAATAAACTATCATAGAAAATTGAGCATCCCCATGCAACTGATTTGGTAAATGTAGGGTCTTGGAGGTTTCAGTAACTTTTAAATTATTTTAGTTTAAATGAACGAGGATCAGTGGTCCTTCCAAACCATGAAGTATTAGAAGAGTGACTGACTAAAATCCTTTTTGACAATTTAAAATGATAATCTAGAAAGAGCCCAATATTTAAAGTTCTACTTATTCCTCTGTGAACCACAAAGAAAAAACGCATTTAGTACGTTCTGGGGGTTATGGACATTAAGTAATGTTGGTTCTTAAGGAGATGCTTTCAAATAAATTGTGAATTTATGTTAGTTGGTCCTGTTTATATGAATAACTTACTAAGTGATTTCTCCATTCCTTTCATTGCAATCTATAAATTAATAATTTTGTTGCTTGTTGAGGAATTCTTTAAGAATGAGAAACATGATTTGAATATAAGGTGTTAGTCACTAATAAATGAAATTACAATGTGGTACAGGTGCTTAGATTACCTTTACTGGCTTATTTCTATATGCCATAGATAGATACAATGTTTAAAATCTTAGTAATTTAACTTTTTGACAGTGACCATCTGTTAGCTTGTGCTTGTTTCAAAATAAAGTTACAGAAATGGAGAAGACCAATACTTCATAATAGAAATAAAAACCAAATTTCCTTAGAATATGGTCATGCTTCTGTTTTCTTGCCCACTTGTTTGGCATAGCAAGTTGGAAGTACATGAAGCGGCTAATTTAGCATCTGTAACATTTAGTTGCACTTCAATACAGAACCATTATCCTGGCTCATCAAACCTCTGGCGAACATGCACATCTGTTCTTCACTTTATCTGTAACATACAATTCTTTTAATACCTAGAAACTTGATGGAGTTATATGTAATTTTTATGAGGGCATGCTGGATATGCCTAAGTTACTTTTAGTATCTGTTACTACCAAATGCTTGGTTGCCTCCCTAACTCATCCATTGAGAGATCTGCTATAGTCCTTTTGAAAAAAAAATTCAAGTTTGTAACAACTTCTAATAGGACCTCATGGAATTTTCTGAGCAGTGAACTAATGATGGAAACAACAGATATTTATGAAAAATATGCTTTAAATGATAATTATTTTAGAGACTACACACACACACACACACACACACACAAACACATGTGCTACATGTGTTAGATCTGAAGTCACACAAAGAAGATATTACCCACTGTTTGTGTTTTAGAACACATGTCTGGGTAAGGACACGGTGAGGTAGAAGATGTTTTACAGTCAAATGAAGAGTGAGGATGCTCAAGAAATAAACTCTACGCTCCCACCTTTATGCTTCCTTAGGCTTGACCATTGTTTGAAAGGGTGAAGCAGACATCCAGGCTGCTGCCTGTTCTGTGACTGCTGCTCCCACCCTGTCTAACCTGCCAGTGTTCTCTTCCCAGTCTTGCTTCCCTCTGTTACTCCCTATGCTATGAGACGGGCTCATGGTGCATTTTCCTGTGTTTCATAGCTAGCCAGAAATGGTAAATCTGAGCAGTGGCAGATATTCCAGAGTTTTACAAATCCTTTAGATATGCTATTATAAAAGAGTGACAGAATTCTTCTCAAGTCTCTGCTCTTCGTTTGTGTGACAGACTTTTTCTGGGGAGACACAATACACATGTATACATATCTCTATCAATTCCAGAAAGAGAAACCATGATAGACCAGAATAATGCTTGCACAAAGTTTAATTTGCTGAACCAGTGAGTTTTTATTGGGGTTACTACCAGGAGTATGGGTGTAGGGTTACTTACAAGATCAGGGGTGACTCAAAAGCAACAGCAGCAGCATCAGAAAACTGACTTCAACCCATTATTACCCAGAAAGTTTCAAAACCCTGAGCTCCATGCAAGGCTTACAGGTAGCTGCTGAGGCAGGAATCTCACCTCTGTGCCTCAGTTGGTCAGAGCTGCTGGTAGTAGTTTTTGACTCCTCTTACAAGGATGGGAAGGGAAGGGGCCTCTGAGACTCCTCCAAGTTGCTGCTTTCCAAGAGACCTTCTGTATCTTCCCTGTCTCAGGAGCTTCCCTCCTCCTTCCTGGAAGAAATATCTCAACCCCCAGGAAACTGTTACTCAAGTATTTGAGTTCTGAATTTGATGAATGACTTGGACTCACCTTTCTCCTAATTTGGAGTGACTACCGCACAGAAGAAGCTTCTCACTGGACAGTTTCTGCAGACTATGGAATCTAGACCATGTGGTTTATGATCTACAGAGTCTATGTGTCACTCAGAACCATGTATTTTAGACTTCTCTACAGGACTTTGTTGCTGCATTGTAACTATTTTGGTTTCTTTACTTTAATAGATAGAGTTCAAAGAATTTTTTTTCTGTTCTCAAAATCAAATCCACATTTAAATAAAAATGGTTGATTATAAAGTACTAATAAAGCATGTGGTCCAATTTTAAACATGTACTTTGGGTTCTGAGGGTTTAATGGGAACAAACACCTTCAAATCAGTGTTTGCTGGAGCAGAGGACTTGAGCAGAGCACAGCCTGCTGAACCAAATAGCTAGTAAGCTGGTATTCCTATAACCAGGTCTTCCCATGCACCTAAAAAGAAAAGTGTCACTTAGAATGAACAAGGCTTGGAAAGTTTTTTAAAGATGTCATCATATAAATTGAAAAGCACTCTTTTTTCTATTACTTAATTATATAGAAAGAGTGAAAACTTTTAGTTTCATTTAAATCTCATGCTTTTAATGCTCTGACTTAAAATAATGAATAGAATACTGGCTGGTATTTAGATAGCAATAGCTTAGAGACAGGTAGGCATTGTTCAGGCAGGAGATGATCCTTTGGCCTCCCACAATACTATCTCAGATTGGCCTCCATGGTCATTACAGAGCTCCTAGAGCTAATGTTCTCAAATTCGGTGCAATATTGGCTTGTTTCTACTTATCTGCTTCTTTTGGAAGGAAATTCCAAGTGACTTAGACTTTGGCTGATGTTTATAGTTTGTTTTGGAACAAAACATTTAATCATATAAGTGAAAAACAAAACAAAATAAAAAACCTTGTCTTGAATATATCAGTTTTAGTGAACTAAGGTAGAAATTTGAATACTAGCATTGAAAGAAGCTACATTTTTAACACTAACTACTCTTTTATGAGATTTGGGTATCATTTTCTGAAACTGAATGGAATGCAAATGCCTAATTGACAGACTTTGAAGACCTCACCCTCCCTGGGGAGCAGAAAGGGGATGGAATGGAATGGGCCTTGGAGGTGGGGAACAGGGTTGTGTGCAGAAACTGGGATTGATATGTAAAACAAGCTTGTGTGCCTGGGGAATTAATTCAATCCTTTTGAACCTGCTTATATAAATTATGAAGTAGAAATAACAATAACTGCTAGCTCTGGAAACTGTTATGAGACTGTTGCTTTATTAAGTAACCAGTCCTAAAGAGAGAATAAAACACAAACTATGTTATATGTGATATTGTGGTTATAACACTTTTGTGTTGGTTGACATTCCCCCTCAAGAAAAAAACAAAACAAATCAAAAACAAACAAACAAAAAACCTTGAGAAGATTTACATGCAGAGTTTGCTGTGGGATGCATTTAGCACCATGGATTGTGAGAGAGTGAAGAGGCCAAACCTGAAACAAAATGAGAAATGGAATGGTGACATAGTTGCAGTCTAAGCTTTGGCCAATGACATAGCACACTGATAAGGTCAGGAGACGTAAATCAGCCTGTCATTGGATGTGAACTGCTTTTGGAGAGGCAGGTAATCTTTTTTTGTTTTTGTTTTTATTATTATTATTATTTCTTATTTTGCATATGATCCCAGTTCCTTCTCCCTCCCATCATCCATCCCTTGCCCCACCAACTCCACAGGGAGGGTGAGGCCTTCCAGGAGAGATCATCAAAATCTGTCAAGTCGTATGTAATCTTGCTGAGGAAGTTTCTTTGAGTAGACAACAATTCCTAGAGAACTTCAGGGTGAAGGCTCCATGATGCCCTGCTGGAAGGGAATGGACAGGTCTTGAGGGGTGTTTTAGAGTCATTCCACTGCATCCAGGTACTGCATTGCTCAGATCCATTCAATCTGCATTACAGAGAGCTGAGCATCCAGAACTTTAGTTGGAGGGGTAGTTTCCTGTGGAAATTTATAAAAGGAAATTTATTGGGATGCGCCACAGTTAAACTTTTGTATCTGGCCTCAGGACTATATGTATATGGATTGTTATTATTATGTATCTGGATTATATTATTGTGTATCAGGATTATTTTGTATGTGGTCTCTTTTTGCAGAGATCTGTCTGGCTCTGGTGTGTGCTACCACCACCTGTTATCCTTCTTTGTTATTTGTTCTTGACAGATTTTTGTTTTTCAAGACAGGTTTTTCTCCGTATTGTTTTGGAGCCTGTCCTAGAACTACCTCTGTAGACCCGGCTGGCTTCAAACTCACAAAGATCTCCCTGCCTCTGCTTCCCTAAAGGCATGCCCCACCAACGCCTGGCTTTGTTCTTGATACTTTTATCTTCTTTATTAAACCTCTAGATTTAGGTGTGGAGTAAGCCAATTCATCCTTTGGGAGAGTTTCAGCATGTGTCAAGTTGAGCAAGGAATGCTAAGAGACATCCTAGGAAAGTATCTGTACATAAAATATAATTTTCTTGACTCTATTTTGTAAGTCTTAATAATTAATTCAAGTGTGACTCCTTTTCTTGCCTATTGGCAAGAAATCCCAAATAGCTGGTAACTGTTAGATCCCTGACAGATCCAACCTTGAGCCTTAGGCAGAAGAAGAACAGATTGTCCCCAAAGCTCCCTGAGAATGGTGATAAATAGGATGATACAGATTTATTTCTATGGTATGCTTCCCTCATCCACTCTAAGAGCTGAAGATGTGACACAACCCTACAATGGTCATTGATTTATTACATATTTACAAATCAAAATATGACTCTATGTTTTGTAGGAAATCTTTAAGTTGAGCCTAAAACATTCTTACATATACTCTCCAGCTATATTCTCAAGTCAGAAGTTTCTGAGTTGTACTGTACATGATAGGTTCATTGGATCCCTTGGCCATATGCTCACTCTCTGCTCTTTTGTCATAAAGTGTTTCTCCTAGGTCCTAGAGAGTTTTCAACACCCATGTGATTTGGCTGTCAAAAGACATTCTGGGTGAATTATTTCCTAATTCAATGTATACAGTTGACTTTCCAAGTGATTTATTCATCAATCCAGAGGATGACTCCATCTTGGAGTTTTACTACTTCTAATTTGGATATGTGACAGTGACAACTAGGCCACTCTTAACAAATAGAAGCTCACTAAGAAATAGAATGCCATGGGCTGGAGAGATGGCTCAGCCATTAAAGGCTAGGCTCACAACCAAAAATATAAGAAATAGAACACTATCAACTAATCTAGAGTTCTGTCGTCATAACAACACTAAGTATGTGTTCTATGTGGCTAATGATAGCCTGACCAGACTATCCATTTCATTTTGATCATTTAGCAGTTTAATGTCTCTTATGTGGGAATGGTCATTTGTGATCATAAACACCTGATACAATGGTATTCACATTTCATGATTGTGTCTTTCCTCCATTTTTGTTTCTGTTTCTATTCACCCAGTTTCTGTGCTTCCAACCTATCAGCCAAGCCATTTGCCACTTGTATGTCTTTATCTGTATTTTGACTTAAGACAACTTCTTCCCATAGTGAACACCATGCTTCCTACTCAAAGCATTGAGCATCACTATAATCTGGAACTATATCTGAGTTGGGGCTGCTTTCTTGCAGCAGTTTGTATTCACCTTGCTCTATACATTGAATGAATCTATCCATGAACTAATAGTTTTTTTTCTACATAACTTGTTATAAGGACCCTAGCCCACATAACCATAAGGGAGCCATATTGTGGCAGATCACTTGGTTATCTATCTATGCCACCTGCAAACACACTTACTTGTACTCTCTATTTATGCCCAGTTTAATCTCTCATGTGATGGTTTACTGCTGGGTCTGCCTAACCTGATTAGTGGTCTGACAACCCACTCATAGTGATAAATGGTTCTGGTTTGTGAACACATACCATTCTATAGACAAATCATTATTCTCTGTAATGTCTGGTGTTAATCTGGAACACCAGGGGTTTATGTTGTGAGTGGAGAATAACCCCTTTTTATGGATCAATTTTTTTTCTGTCATATACATACATAATACTATATGCTAGCAACATTTGCATGAACAGCACATGCAGCAGGGCTGTAACATGAATAATAAATGTCTCAGAGACTGATATTGGGGTTCAAGTTGAAGATCAGGGAAGCAAAGTAGATGGTGACTAGCTCTCACCCCTAGCTCAGGCTGAAAGGGCTGACCCACATACAAGCTCTTCATCAAGTCTCAAACTGTTGCCTCCTCTGAGTGTGGCTAGAGAACAAATGCTTCTACTGAGACCTTACTTCTGTCTTATATA